GATAGGCGCCCGCCCCGGGGACAGAGAGGAAGGGAGAGGCCCTGGGCGTAGAGGAGGAGGAGGAGGAGGAGGAGGAAGGAGGAGGAGGAGGAGGAGGAGGAGGAGGAGGAGGGAGGGAAAAGGGAGGAGGGAGGAGGGAGGGAGGAGGAGGAAGAGGACCCTGGTAGAATGGAGGCTGGAGGGCGCCCCGGAAGAGCCCCGAGGCCCGCAGGAGAGGCCTCCTGGATGGGGTCCGAGCTGGTGGGATCGAAACATCGCGCCGCATCGCAGCTCCATCCGGGATGCATCGGCGACGTCGGCGGTGCATCGGCGCAGCCGGCACGGAGAGAACCGGGCCCCGCATCGAGCTGCCTCGCCGATGCCTCGGCGATGCGGCGCGATTCTCCGACCCCATCTACTCCGATCAAGAAGAAACAACGGAGCAAACAAAATCGTTTGGCGCTCCGCGCGGATATCTGGGATCTGCGCTGGACCCCCCTCACCGGCGCGCGGAGCGCGCCATGAACGGCGCGGGAGGCGCCGCCGGGGGGGGGGGGGGGGGCCCTGCGCGGATCCAAGACATCCGCGCGGAGCGCCAAACGTTTATGTGTATATGTGTATGGCGTTTTTGTTTCTTCTTCGATTCTAGCATCCATGCAAACGTCTTCCCCAATAATCTTAAGCGCTTTTGCCCGCGTCGCGATCCGGATCTTCGAAGCCACAAATGCTGTGGATCAGGTCGGGCATGTCCTCCAACAGGCGATGTATGCTTATGCGGTGTTTTCTCCCTCGAGACTTTGGAGGCCCAGGCCCGGAGAGCCTCAGGGGAGGCCCCCGCATGCCGAGGCCCCCGAGGGCCCTGGACGGCCCGCCTGCCTGTGCGCAACAGAGGCGGCGGCGGCCACTCGCCGCGGCCCTGCGCGACGAGGGCCGAGGGCCTCCTGGGCATTGTCTGCGTGATCTGCCGAGGACCCATCGGCCGAGGGCGAGGCGGGCCGCCGCGGGGGGAGCCCCCTGCTGGGCCTGTTTTCCACCACCACCACCAAAAACTGGAGGGGGGAAGGAGGAGGAGGACGAGGAGGCGGAGGACGAAGAGGCGGAAGAGGAGGCGGAGGACGAAGAGGAGGAAGAGGAGGTGGGGGAAGAGGAGGAGGAGGAGGAGGAGGAGGAGGAGGAGGAGGAGGAGGAGGAGGAGGAGGAGGAGGAGGAGGAGGAAGAGGAGGAGGAGGAGGAGGAGGAGGAGGAGGAGGAGGAAGAGGAGGACGACGAGGACCCCGTCCCCTTCCAATTTCCGGTGGCGGTGGTGGAAAACGGGCCCATTACCCCCCCTGCTGGCTCCAGGCCCACCCGCACCCCGCGCAGGGGGGGGGGCTGCTGCACTGCCAGGCTGCCCCCGCGCGCCGTGCACCTCCTGCGCTCGGCCCTGCGCCCTGTCCGCAGCAAGCGTGCAGCCCACGGAGAGCGAACGGCCCGGCCTGCAGGGGCGCGGCCACCGAAGCGAAGGGCCGACGCTGCCGACGCGCGCCCACATCGAGGGGGCCTGGCGGCCCCTGGCCAGGAGGCCAGGAACCAAGAGAGGCCCAGAGAGATCCCAGGACGGCCCTTGCGGGCGAGATCCCAACATGGCTGAGGTACGTCCTTGGGAAGTGCTTATCACAACGAACCAGCCTTCCACAGCTCATGTATTATGGGAGGAGCTGGAGGAAGCCTGGAGGAGAGCCTGAAGGAGGAGGGGAGGGGGGAGGGCGGGTAAGATCCCAAGGGGACGGGTCGAATCCAACGGGCTGTGTGAATTCACGCTGCCGCCTGGCCCTCCTTCGGACGATGTGTCTCTTCATCTCTTTTCCGTCAACTCTCACGGGCAAGGTTTTTGAATGGGCTGGTGGGGATGGTTTTTGATACGCGGGCGCGCGAAGCGGGTCGAGCGCCGGGCAAGCTGGGGCAAGCTGTGTCACCAGCTAAGGGTAAAAACAGAGAGGCATGCAAAGCCATGCACAGAGCGGAACGAGGCTCAGCGCGGCCAAAATAGCGCGGATGGCAACACGAGGCGGCACCGGCATCACGTCCATGTAGGTGCCGAGCTGGAAGCCAAAGCAGAAGAGGGACGATGGGCGGAAGTCTGGGCGCCACGCTGACCCAGGAAGGCGGTGACGGAGGTAGAAACAAGGCCGATCCAAGTTCCCCAGGCACCGCTGGTGGGGATATTTTTTTTGTTCTGCGGGCTCGCGATGCAGGTCGAAAGCCGTCCGAACACTAGCCGGGCCGCGACTCCCAACTCGGTACTGGTGGGGGTACTTTTTTTTACAGCCGCAGGCGGAAGCGCCAGCGGCGGAAGGTCGCGAACGGGCCGCGGACGCGACTAAATTACCTAACGCGCGCAGGGCCGCGGATCAGGCGGCTCACGACAGCGTCCAGGGAAAACGATGCAGTCCAGGTGCCATGACAGCCCCTGAACGGGCATGCAGGTGCGTCCTACAGGCCTGAGGTAGGCACCGAGACCACCATCGCAGCGAACTGGTGGGGATACGCGAAGCGTGAAGAATTCTTGGTACCCTTGGACATGTATTCAGAGTGTGATGCATCTTCCGTGGAAGGTGCATCATAGTTACCAAGAGTCGGCGACCAACAATACCAAGAATGGGTCACCAATCATACCATGCATGCAAATCGCAGATGCCAACATGACCACTTGTTGTCACTACTAACTCCCCATCCCAAGGGGGTCCCAAGAGCCCATGGTTACAACATCTGCATTCCCGCCCACTGGGAGCCCTTTCGCGGCCTTCTCGGGTCCCGAGGGGGAAGAGGAGGAGGCGGCGGAGGAGAAGGAGTGGGAGGGGGGGGGGGGAGAAGGAGGCGGGGGAGGAGGCGGGGGAGGGGAAGGAGGAGAAGAAGAGAGGAGGGGGAGGGGATGAGGAGGGGGGAGGAGGAGGAGGAGGAGAGGGAGGAGGCGGCGGAGGAGGAGGAGGAGGAGGAGGAGAGGAGGAGGAGGAGGAGGAGGAGGAGGAGGAGGAGGAGGAGGAGGAGGAGGAGGAGGAGGAGGAGGAGGAGGAGGAGGAGGAGGAGGAGGAGGAGGAGGAGGCGGAGGAGGAGGAGGAGGAGGAGGAGGGAGGAGGAGGAGGATAGGAGGAGGAGGAGGAGGAGGAGGAGGAGGAGGAGGAGGAGGAGGAGGAGGAGGAGGAGGAGGAGGACGGGGAGGAGGCGGTTTTGTACTAAATGTGCGGCATTAGATGTTGGGCCCTCTTGGAGCCATTTCTGGGCCAAGGCCGTCGAGTAGGGCAAGACCATCGGAATTCGATGGTGATCCCCAGGGGACATCAGCCCGCGGGACACCGGGGTTCCCGGTGCACCCTGGGGGATATCGGGCAACTCGACCTTGCAAAGGGGGTGGTAGGCATGAGCTAGCCCTGTGGGACATCGGAGAGCCCTAAGAGGTTCAAAACGGTCCCAGCGCATGTACTTCGGCACCCCTCTGGAGCACCCAAGAGGGCCCCACGGCGACTGTACTTGGGTACCTCTCTGAAGCACCTGAGTGGCATGTCAGGTACATGCCTATTGGGGCTCTCTTGGGGGCATGTCGGGGCACCCAAGAGGCCCCTCTGGGGGGCCCCACGAGGGGCTCCAGACGCTTGTACTTGGGTACGCCTCTGGATCACCGAAAACGCATGCTGAGGCCCTCTTGGGAGAGGAGGGACAGCAGGAGGGGCGAGGACGAGGAGGGGGTAGGAGGAGAGGAGGAGGAGGAGGAGGAGGAGGAGGAGGAGGAGGAGGAGGAGGAGGAGGAGGAGGAGGAGGAGTGGCAGAAGGCGGAGGAGGTGGAGGTGGAGAGGAAGAGGAGGAAGAGGAGGGACGGGATCCTTCTCCCCCTCCTCGTCCTCCTCGTCCTCCTCGTCCTCCTCCTCCTCCTTCTCCTTCTCCTCCTCTGCCTCTCCCTCATGTAACTCGAACTTTCCTGTTCGAATTATCTGTGTGGAATTGTTGTTTGTTCGAATGGGCGTGTTTGAATTATTGGTAGCCGATTTGCTTTTGGAATGTGCGTGCTTGAATTTCTGGTCAAGGTAATCCCGGTAATTCTGGTCGGGCCGCCGGCTTGTGGAGGGTTGGAGCTGCCCGGGCCTTAGCGCCGCGCGCAGTCGCTCCAAAAGTTCACAACATATTCAACGGCGGAGGGTGGTTCCTTTTCAACATTTGGCTCTCCCCTCAGCGCCGCACATTCGTCCTAAACGTTTGCGCACGATCAAGGACTGTCAGGACGCGGCAGTCGCGTGGATCCGCGGCGTGGAAGTCCCAAGAATGGCGTTCTGGCGGGACTGAGGCTTCCCAGACGGTTGCCCTTCTAATGGGCCGCTGCCCGCAGTGAACGCTGATTCTTGTTGGGACCTATGGAGAGGGAACTTGGAAGGATGGTCTACTGCAACATCGTTGATGCGTATTGTGTTGTTGCTCTGGACCTCCTTTTCCGGTTGTGGACAGAGGTAGGGAGATGGAGGGGGAGGAGCGAGGAACCTGCATCCCCGCACCCTTTCGCCCCTCCCAACGGCTAGGCCCCTTCTGCGCTGCCCCACTCCAGCTCCCCACCCGCTCCCCAGCTCTCCGAACTCCCCCCCTTCGTGAGCGTTTTCTTCCTCGGCGTTTCGACACTGGGCGGAATGGGGGGGGGAGGGAGGGGGGTCTGGCCCCGGACCTCTGCTTAATGCGACTGTTTGAGGCAGTGCGTCCCATGGGGGAGACTCCACCTGCTTGAACCTCCGGGTCCAACCCTCCCCTCCCCGAGCTTCCCCCCCCCTCCCACCTCCCCCCTCCAAAGTTCCCGAGGCGCCGCCAGGGGGGCTTCAGCGCCAACCCCAGAACTCCGCGAGGAACCCCGAACACTTGTGCCAATACCGCGACTTCTTCTTTACCCAACGACCCCACGAAACTGCATTGAAACATGCCCGTCGCTCGTGGTTCCCGCAAGATGAGGGCCGACGCGGCGGCGGGGGCGGAAGCCCGCGCTGCACGCGCGCGCGGCGGGGGGTGGCGCCTTCAGCGAGGACACCGGGGCTAACGGCACCCTCTGGGGCACGTAGCTGGTGGGAAAGATGCAGCCCTTTGCGGCGTTCCCGGGGGGGGAGACAGGGGGGCACGACCAACCAGCATCGAATCCGCAGATCGGATCGGACCGATACGCGCGTCGGATCGGGCTGCGTCGGCACAAAGTCGAACCAATTCGGATCGGGCGCGCCATGGTTCGGACTATCGCCACGCAGACAGCGGGCCGCATCGGATCGTCGGAGCGTCGGAATCGAATCAATCGGTCCGTTCAGAGACGATCGAATCGGACCGGAATGGACCCTGGAGAGAGGGGCTGGGGCGGAGGGGAATAAAAGTCGATGATCGAACATTGAACGAATCCCACCTGTTATTTTCCGCGCGATGTACTTCGTCGCCACGTATGGATTCGCCCTGGTGTTTTTGTCAGAGCGCACCGCGGGAGGGTTCGGGGGGGCCGATTCTTTGAGTGAGGGGGCATGACTGGGGGAGAGGCCTGAAAACAGATAGTTGTGGAAGGCTGGATGGGAGGATGACGCAGATAAGGATATAAAGAGCGACGAGGAGGAAGGAGGTGGGGGTGACGAGGGGGCAAGGGGGAGGGGAGGAGGAAGGACAGGGGGACAGAGAAAGAGGAGGCGGGGGGGCGAGGACGAGGGGGAGCGGGGGGATGGGGGCGTCGGGGACGACAGAGGCAGCGCCACGCAACGCCCGATCGGCTCAGGACCAGTCCTGAGACCAAACGCAGCAATACCCATTCATCAAGGGCTGGTGAAGGTGCCCCTGGCCCAAGGTGTCCCCAGCTTTTCGCTCGTGTGGGTGAAATAAATGCGGAGCATGTAGCGTAGCAGCCGGGGAATTCATCACTCCAGCCATCGCTGCCTCGGCCTCCCGCGCCAGCAACAACCATGCACGGCGGCAACGCCTCGGGGGAAAAAGACTACAGAGCACGGCGTACCAATCCAGGAATCCGCCGCACCCCGACTGCCGGGGGTGACAAAGCGTGTGAGACATTTGGCTGCCCCCCTCCCTCTCCCCATCCCAGGGTCAAAAATGCCGCTTACGGGGCGGCTGGGGGGGGCCCACGCGCCTGCAAGACGACCTAAGAGTGTTCCAAGAGGACCGCCGGCCGCAGAGGGCCCCCAAGAGGAAAAAACGGCGCAGGGTCGCCCCAAGACAATCCAACATGGTTTCGAGACGGCCCACGCGCCTCCTGGGCAGCCCAAGAATGCTCCAAGAAGACCGCCGAACGGGCCCTAAGAATACTCTTAGCATGCTCCACGAGGCCTCCACGGCCGCAGGGACCCCCCAAGAGAGCCCCGAAGGGAGATATGAACGTGGAGCCGTTCTCCCCAAGATGGCTCCGAGAGCACCCACGACGCCCTCGAGACGCCCACAGGAGACCGCGAGAGGCTCCGAAGGGGTCCCCAAGAAGCCCCAAGGGGCCCCCCAGGAAGGCGCAACAGGCCCCCCAGATGCCCCCAAGAGCCTCCCACGAGGCCCCTGGGGGGCATTCCACGAGCCCCCCAAAGGGATCCATAAAACTCCTGCCCCACAAGGTAATTTCCAAGATCGTCGCAAGCACTCGTTCTTCCTGGGGGGTCTGCGGAACGGGCGGCCAACTGCGCTACGAGCGGCGCAGGATCCATAACCGACGGTGCGAAAAAGCCGGTCTCGAACGCTGCACCTGGCGCCGGGCCTGCACGGGGTGCCGCCCGAGCGCGGTCTCCCGTGTTTCTGTCATGCGACTCCCTTTGATTTCCCAACTTCGATCGTCGAAACGAACCCATCCAACAAACTTGCGCAGCATCTTTCTCGGAACAGCATATAATGTGTATAGCTGCTTCGAGACCAACGGCGTCCTAGATAAACTTCCGCAGACAACTAGCCAAGACATGCCGTGAAGAAACTGGAAGCACAAATGAATGGGAACTTTCCGCTTCAGCAGCGTCGCTGACAAATGGAACCATTTCACCCATTCGCAAACAAAGCGGCGGTTCAGATTGCATCGCTCCTTCATGCCTATCCCTCCCTGTCGCAAGAAAGGAGTAAGGCAACGGGCGGCCCATGCACCGTGACACGGTTGCGCCCCCTTGAAACCCCAGAGCCGAAACTGTGCACCGTACCCGTGAGCCGACGGCGCCTCGGGAGGCGCCAGCGCGGAACGGTGCACCATAACTCGCCCGCGGGCTGGATGAGATTGAGGAGAACCGATACGGGGTGGGTCAGCTCAAGGGGGAAACATCGAGCGTGTATCTGCGACACTTCGCCGATAGAGCGGCGATAGGCTCCCGATGGCAAATCCGAAGGGTTTCCTGGGCGGACAAGGCTATTCAGGGCCCTGTCGGCGACCAAGTGGCGACCAGCGGCTGGGGGCCGACGAGTTCCCCCTTGAGCCTACCCTCGGCGGCGAGCGAGGGGGGCAAGTGGGAATGAAGGGGCCCCAGGACACACAAATAAATACACACAAATTAAAATGTGCCTCATATTTTCACATATTTTCTGGGTTTTTGTCTTCCAACCCACTTCCCATATTTTCCCATATTTTCCTGGGAATCGACGATTAATTGTGTCTGTGTGTTTCTTTTCCTCCTGAGGGAAGGAGGAGGCATTCTCAGAAGCCCGCCTGCCTTCTCGGAACCCTCCTCTGCGCCTCCCGGGAGGGCGCAGCAGACTTCTCAGAAGGCCGGAGGCCTCCCGAGCCTCCTGAGGAGGCCTGCCCCTTCCTCGCTTCCCCCGTGGGCTCGCCGCCGACGCCCCTCGGGCCGGGCGAACGGGGGGGATAGCAGAACGGGGGATTGAGAATCAGCTCACGTAGCTGATTTTCCCGGCGCCTCCTGGCGCCGGGAGGCGCCCATGTATCGAGGAATGGGCCCAGCGGCGGGGCCGAAACCAGCTGCATGCAGCAGATTTCGTACCCCCCCCTTTCCCACTCCCCCTCTTTCGTCGGGTCCGAACCCCTCCTTCTCGCTGCCCTTCGGGAGGAGGAAGGATGACGACGACGGGGGACGGTGGCGACGACGAAGACGACAGCTCTCTCCGCCCGCGGCCTAACACGAGCGGCGAAAATAGCCGTATCCACGCCCTCGCGGCCTGGGTTTCCGGGGCGCGGGGACGTCCGCAACAAAAAAAACACCCCGCACCCATGAAGCCGCGGCCCACGGGCCTGAACTGGGGTCTGCCACTAGAGGACTCCCAGATGGGGTCCGAGTAGATGGGTCGGAGGATCTCGCCGCATCGGCGATGCATCGGCGATGCACTGGCGACGTCGGCGATGCATCGGCGTCGTCGACATGAAGCACATCGGGCTCCACATCGAGCCGCATCGCCGATGCATCAGCGATGCATCGGCTATGCGGCACGATTCTCCGACTCAATCCAGGAGGCCTGAACGAACCCGCGAGGCAGTGGATATAGAAAGGTTCCCAGGCCCCCGACGTGTCACATTTTTTCACAGCTCCTGGAAACCTGGAGGTCTCAACTCGCTCCTGAGGACCCGGCTTTCGCCCCGAAGTAGATTGCTTCACGGTTCCGCCGGCCCGATGAGGGCAACCCTCGAGGCCGTAAGCACACCAAAAGCGCCCGTTGTGATTTCCCCGCCTCCGAACATGGCTGCTCCCAAGAGCCCTGGGCAGGAATCTCCGGCCTCCGGTGGCCCGTCGCCGGCCCGGCGCAGGGCCACGAGAGACCGAGCACACGCCACGCCGAAAACTCTCCTCGAAGATTCTGATCGTGGCGCACCCCAGGGGAAGGGCAGCGAGGCCCGCCTTCTGTTTGTTCCTCCCTCCGTTGTCCTCTCGTGGCCTCCCTCCCCCCACTGGTGCGCAATTCGCTCGTAGCCCGCCTGCTGCGACCTTTGGACGGCGTCCGGCGTCTCCTGGTGCGCTTGCGATCAAAGAAAAACCCAGGAGAGGTCCTGGGCCAGGACCACCTCTCTGGACAAGCGCGCTCCACGAATCGCAAGGAAAAAACTACTCGAACATGGCCTGAAGCCGCGGCGAAGGATTTACGATCCATTACATGTAGGAAGACACGTTCTCCTGTACTTCTGACGTTTGGGAGTGGGCACTTTGCGAGTAGTGTTAGGTCGGGCATGTCCTTCTACAGGCCGGATGCAGGAGGAAACATGAAAGATAGTCAAACACATATTCAAAAATAGTCAAAACAGTGAAACCAACTCGTCCCCAGACTATGATTAGACTATTTTTGAATCCTCCTCCTGTGGAGCGCTTGCCCAACGTAAGAACGCGACGTAAGAGTAGTGGAACTCGCTCGGGGATGATTCGCCTGGGGGGTGCACTCCGATCAACAGTTTTTCGGGGATGGCCCAGCCGTGGCGAGCGGTGAAGGCGCTCTCCAGGACGAGCGGCGCGGGGCGGGTTCCCCGGGGAGCAGGCACGGCGAAGGAGTGGAACTCCAGCGGAAAATCACAGCGGGAGCCCCAGACTGAAATCGGGCACGTACTCCTACAGGCGGATTTTGGACGAAACATTGAAACTTGCCGAGACACTACCACAAAAAATAGCCAGAACTAGTCGAAGCACCGTCTCCAGACTATTTTGAATATTTTTGAATTTTCCTCCTGTAGAGGGACACGCCCGAGTCAACCCCAGACCCATCTTTCTGCGACATGTTTCGAGCTGGATCGATCTGTGGTGGTCCCAAGGCCTGGACATGGGGGCGATCGCCCAGTTCGGCGAAGGACAAACCTCCCTTCAGTAAACCTCCCCTTAGTGAAAACGGCCTGGAACCGAAACCGACGGACCTGGACCTGCAGAAATGACGGCCGCGAGGCCCTCTCGCGAACCGAAAACGGCCAATTCCTTAATCGACGTGTCAGCGTAGGAGGTCTATCCACCTCCGACCAATTTGGAAACAGATCGCCAAAACGCCTGGATCTCAATGTCTGGGTTTGGACAAAGGCGCGTCTGGCAGCCGGCCGTCGCCTCCCCACGGGCCTCGTCGCCGGGTGAACGGCGGACGAAAACGGTGTCGACTGCGCCGGCATTCCCGCGTAAGCTTCCCGCCCGATGTCGGGGTCGACTGCGCCGACATTCCCGCGTAAGCTTCCCGACCGATGTGGGAAACATGCGGCACAGATCTTACCGTGCGGACGCGGTCGCAGGAAACTCTTGAAAGAAGCATAGTGAGGTCGGGCGTGTCCTCCTACAGGCGGATGTGGGAACGAACAAAAAGAATCGTCCCCAGAATACGTTTTGACTATTTTTGGAGATTCCTCGTGTAGAGGGACATGCCCGACATACAAGCACAGCCATGAAGACCCGAGCGCGAGAGGAACCCGAGGGGAAACCTGGAGCACTCTGAACGCAGCCCAGTGAGTCACCGCGCTGCGCGCGAAGCGAAGACACCCAGGGCACCCTGACGAAAAGCAGATGTTTCTTTTTTATGTGCGTCCCCATCAGGGCTGGGCCTAAAACGTTGTTTTCGTTTTGCGTTCGTTTTGTATTCGTTTTGCTCTACCTGTTCTCCTGTACCTCCCTCCCAAAACGAAAAAGATGAAACGCAGCCGAAGTCCAGCAAAACAGCGTTTAGGTCCAGCCCTGTGCGCGCCCCCATTGCCCAAGCATCCAGAAAAAAAATGACGGGAAGACCCAGTACTGCCCACCCATCCCCCAACCGCCCAACCAAAGTTGGCCCGCCGCGGACATCGGAAGGGCGGCAGGGGGGCCACGGACCACATGGCCACCATGCGACCTCGCAGCGACCCGAAAAATATCACATGGCCCCATCAAGCAAGCAGCTCTAGCAGACGCCTACTCCCATCAAGCAGACGCCCTTCTTCGATGATGCCAGATGCCTACGGTAGGTTCGCGCGGCGTCGGCGCGCGCAAAAGTGTTTGACACCACGTCGATCGTTCAAACTTGAATCGATCGCGGCCCCGATCGTTCAATATTGAATTCTGTCGGCCCCAATGGCGTCACCGTGTCCCTCCGTGCTTCCTCGTTGCAGAAGATTCAACCTCGAACGCCTTCGCCGGCGTCGCCAGCGCGCGCCATCGCCGCATGAACCTAGTCGGACCTAGGCCAGAATAATATCCTTCAAGAACACGAGACCCTACGCGGCCAAAACAGACAGAACATCCAAGGGTTTACGTACCCTCCCCAGGATGCACACAAACATCCAACAAACACGAAGAAGCTTAGGGTACCCTCCCCGAACCGACCTTGACCTTACGGTAGGAGCTCGACCACAAGAAACCTTCCACAAGAAACCCAACCCTGAGACCCCAGGGCGTCCATCGATTTGTGGTGTGGGAACGTGACGCTCTCCCTGGCAAGGCCATCGAAACCCAAGAAGCCCAGGGCACCCTGGAGGCAAGCAAGGTGTCTCGTGGCATGGGTCTCCACTGTTTACCTCGGTCCGACTGCAGCGTACTTCCATCAAGCAGCTCTAGCTAGAAGAAGAAAAACACCATAAACATAAACTTTTGCCGCTCTGCGCCTTGGATCTGCTCTGGGCCCCCTCCCTGGCGCGAGGGGCGAGCCAGGGGCGGGCGCAGGTGGCGCCGCCGGGGGGGCCAGCGCGGATCAGAGGAATCCGCGCGGAGCGCAACAAGTTTATGTTTTGTGGCGTTTTTTCTCGCTTTCGACTGCCAGGCGGCGGCCCTTCCCTGATGAACCGAGCAAGGACCCCTAACCCTTTGGAAGGAGACTGAAGTTAGGAGGGCCAAGAAAATTAGGGATAGGGGATATTTTCTGCAGCTGTATCGAACCAAATCGCCCATATGTGTGATCACTAGTGCAACAAGACGGGGACCTCAGCGAGGCCACGTCTTCACTGCGTGAGTTATCAGGGTTAGGGGTTCCCTCACTCTCGATGATCCCCGCCCGCGGCCTCGCTGTCGCTGCGCCTCCTCGGCCGCGCCAACGCCAGGCTCGGCTCCGACCGCGCCGGGCTCAGCGCGGCCCCGCCGGCGCGCGCGAGCTCCGCGCGGCCGCGCGCCTCGGGGGCGGGCGCGCGGGTCCGCGGCCGACGGTGCCGCCGAGCCACCGCCCCGCGCTGCCGGCGGCGCGGTCCGTCGGCGAAGCTGCCGCCAGCGTTGGGTCGGGCATGTCCTCCTTCATGCGGAGTTGGGAAAGATTTCTTATGAACAATTCCAAAATAATAGAAACAACAAAAAAAAACGTCCCAGCCTCCTCCTCCTCCTCCTCCTCCTCCTCCTCCCGCAGAGGCGTCCCGGGAGCGGGCCCCGAGTCAAAATACCCCCCCCCTAGGGCGCATTTTCCTCGAGCGGGCACGCCCGAGATGCACTTCTTCCTCTTCCGGGAGCACGTCCCAAGTCAGAATATCACACTCCCGGGGCGCACTTTCTTCGAGCGGGCACACAAAGGATGCACTTCCTCCTCCTCCTCCTCCTCCTCCTCCTCCTGCTGCTCCTCCTTCTCCTCCTCCTCCTCTTCCGCTTCCTCCCCCCACTCCTAGCCCTTTCGATCAGGGTCGGCGGCACCGGCCGTCAGGCCTCTCCAATAATAAAAAAATCGTCCCAGACTATTTTAACAACTATTTTAGAATATGCCTCCTGTAGAGGGACGTGCCCGACGTAAGGCCAGCGTCGGCCGGCGTCGGCAGCGGCGTCGGCGTCGTCGGCCTGACGCTGGCGCTGGCGGCCTGCGTCCCCCGGAGCGACTACCTACCAGATCACCCCAACCCTACCCAGAGACCCGAATTTCGGATTGGGGGGGTTACGGGCTCCATCTGTGTTTCTTCACTGATCCCCGCCCCACCCCCCGCACTAGGAATGGAGGGCAAATTGAGGCTTTCGGGTTGGGTTGGGGTGGTTTGGTGAGTGGTGGAAAATGCTACCGCAACCGCCACCCCCCGCACACACCGTCGTCGCCGTCGTCGTCCTCCTCTCCGTGGAGTCGGGACTTGCAAAATACTGCAAGGTCCTGCAGGCTCCTGCGCCCTCACCCGGGCCGGTGCACCCCTAGCCCTGCAAGATCCTGCAAGATCCGGCGGCCTGGCTGATCCGACGAAGCCGCCGCCAGCGTCGGCTGGCGTCGGCGGCGGTGTCGTCCGCCTAACGCTGACGCTGGAGGCCTCTGTCCCGCGAAAAATGCAACCGCCCGCCCCCCCCCGCGCACACACCATCGTGGTCACCGTCATCGTCGTCCTCTTCTTGGACTGCCCTGCACTGCCGCATGGGGGGCCTTCCGCGAGGCACGCCGCAAAAAACTTGCCAGGAGGGGGGATGAAGCCAAATCCGCTCAAAATAACCCCCCGGACCCCCCAGGATCCGTTTCTGACCGTCCTGGGGCACGAGAGCGGCCCCCCAAAAGAATAAAAATGTAAAAACAACAAGAAACATCCTCGAACCCAGGACCTCGAACATGCCCCCCCCTTCCAGCTGCTGGCAGAAACCAGTGCTGCCTGAGAACCCCCAGCTCCAGCTGGCTGCAACTCCTGCTCAGCCTCCGAACGGCCCCGGAAGGGGCCTGCAAAAGAGAGGCTCCGCAACTGTATACGAGACAGACGCCCTCAACGCCTCTCTGGCGAAGCTGGCCGGCGGGCACACCGCTGCCCGGCGGGCGGGGACGCAGTTTGTCATCATTGCTGCTCCTGCGGCCCTGGCGACTTCCTCGGCAGTCCTGAAGAAGTCATGGCGATTCCCTCTTCAAACCTCCACATGCAAGGAACACCATAAGGATGCCATCAAACATCAAGAACCTGCCTGACGATGTCACACGGAATCCTGAAGGCTTCCTGAGGGTCCCTGCGGATCCCTAGAAACATCCTAACAAAAAGGCCTCCGAACTCATAAAGCCTCAAAACTCTCAAAAAGAATCCGAACGATCCCATCGGAACCCGAATGATCCCTCGAGATAAAATCCGACGACCTCACTGCAATCGCCTCGTCCTCCTGCTACTCCCCCTTCTTCTCCGCGTCCCTCTCCCTCCTCCCACCTGTCCTCCCACCTGTCCTCGGGTTTCTTTTTGCTTCCCAAACGTCTAAGGTGACATTCAGTCGCCACGAGAGGACTTCTTCTCTAAGGCAACCATACGAGCAATATTAGTGTAACGTCGCGATGAAAAGAATTCTTCTGCAAGGCTGTCGCAAAGGACTTCTTCTGTAATGCCACTACACAACAAATCCTTTTGCACATCCGACACCAAGGAAATGTTCAGGTACGGCCGCCACATCAAGGGATCCCTGTGCAGGGCAGCCCAGCAATGTTCGGCAGTCAGCTGCAGAATCCAATGGAAAACAATGAACATACGAATATGGCGGTCGGTGTATATGTTGTGTGTGTTCACGTGCTGTTGTTGTATGAGCGGTTGCTGTATTATTGTGTTGTCTTTCTTGTTTTGATTCCCATGTGAGCTCCATTGGGTATAATCGCTGTTCTCTGTGGTTTACATTGTTGTCCTACCTTTTCTGTGGTTCCGAATGGTTTTTCAACATTGTATCTTCGTGATGTGATTATGTGTGTCATTGTTTACCAGCCTCGAACTTATCCCTGCCCATTAGATTGACACGCCAAAAGGCGATGACAATCTTAGGGATGCGCCCTCAAAAAATAAGGGAATCCCGAAGATTGGCATCGTGATGAGGAGATGCCCAGCATAGGGATAGGGATATGTTCCAGGCTGATAAATTGTTTCCCGCTGTGTTTTACATGCTCTCCAATGTTTGTCTTGTTTTTTTTTTTTTGCAAGGGACCACACATGGATTCCAACCGCCACAAACAAACGTTTGCAAGACTTCCTTTGAACAGAACCAACTTGTACGGCTGTAGCAAAACAAACCTGTTTGTATGGTCGCTGCATAAAAAACTGTTTCTGAGGCCGACACACAAACACAACTCTGGTATAAACCCGCCACGCTAAGAATCCGGTCGTAGGGCCGCCGGAAAAAAGATCTGTATGCACGGGAGCCCAGCTATGTTTTGCAGCCAGCCGCGGGCAACAAGACATACCATGGAAAGCAAAGAAAGCAAGGAAGACACACCGAACAATGAAAAACAATGTAAAGGTATAGTCCGGTGTCATCGGTTTCCTTTGGTGTTCACTGTTGTCTGAAGTGTCTTCATACGTTTGCATTGTGTTACGATGTTGCTGGTAAGGCTTTCGTATGTTTCAAATGGTCACTGTTGTTTATTGTGTTGTCGCAGATAATGTATGGTTCGGATTGCTGTCCACTGTGATTCCGCAATCCGTTAATGCTTTTCATTGGTTCGCTGTGTGCTTCATGATTTTCATTGTGTTCCTTGTTTTTTTTCTGGATGGGGCATCCGAAATTTGCCACCACGAATGGATTCTGGCCGCCACACAAGAAATCCTTCTGTAAGGCCTCCACGAAAAAAGAACCATTATGTAAGGGCAACGGAAGAAATCCTGTTCTAGATCTGCTGTAAAAAATTGTCATGTGGCCGTCAGACAAAACATCCTTGTCTAAGGCCGCCGCAGAAGGAATCCCTTTGCAAGGAAACCAAACAATGCAACCATGAAACCACATTGAACATCAAGGAAGCACATGAACAAATATTGTGTTGTCACACATTCCCTTTGGTGTTCAATGTTTGCCGCCGTGTCTGCATACGTTCTCATGGTTTTAGTGCGCGTTTGTCTCATGTGTGTTTCATATGTTTTCTTAAGTGTTCACTGTGGACTACTGTGTGTTCATAAACTTTCTCTGTGGTTCTTCATAGTTTGTTCACGGCCTGTTCTGAATCGTGTTACGTTTGCCGATGTCTGGTGCTTTCAAAACCTTAGCTGTGTTCATTCTCAGTCAAGAAGTGCACCCGAAATGTGCCAGGGCACCACAAAACATTCTGGTCGCCACAAACGAAATCCCGTGTGTAAACCATCCACAAAAATAGTCATCCTGTAACGCCGTAGCACAACTAATTCTTTTGTAAGGGCCGCTGCAAAATGAATCATGTTTTGGAACGGCCACCACAGAACACATCCTTGCGTACGACCGCCATCAACCATCCTTGTGTAAGGCCGCCGCCAAAAAAACGTGACAGGGCAGCCACATTATCTTCGGCAGCCAGCACCGACAAACAAGAAAGCAATGAAAACGCAGAGGGAAGCATTACACCGCATCTGACAGGTTGTGGTTCCTAAGTTTCTTGTGGTTGGCATTGTGTGTGTGTGTGTTCTGCGGCGCTTGCGTGTAATTTTCGTGGTATCAATGTGTTGGCTGCAATACTCTCATATGTTTCCTCAAGCGTTCACCGTGGTTCATTGTGCTGTCATAGGCCTTCAATGGTTCCGTTTCTTACTGTTGTTATTTTCTCTGTTTTGAAAAATGTGACTGTTCAGTCGTTTTGGGTTTGTCATTGGTTCGCTGAGTTTTCATTGGTTTCCCTGCTTTCCTCGCTGTTTCCCTGAAAGGCGCCCGAAGTGTCAGGGCACCACGTACGGATTTCGGCCGCCACATCAGGACTCTTTTTTTTTGCACGGCGCCCAGCAATTTAATCATTGTGTAAGGCCGTAACAAAGCAGTGCGTCTGTCGGGCTGCTGCAAACATAGCCCTTTCTTGAAACGGCCACTACATAAGAATCTTTGTGTCAGGCCCCCACAAGAAAGAATCCTTGGAAGGCCGCAACGACATGAATTTCCTTGCAAAACAACCCCACCAATTTCAACTGCCTGACGCGGACAGCCACGGAAAAACAATGAAACACTGAAATCAGAAACGGCGCAACGAAACACAACGAAACACACAAGACGTACAGTGCTGTGACCCCTTGTTGCACATGGGTTGGGTGCACCCCAGGTAACGTGCTGACGCGCTGTACTTGTTTTCCCTTGCCCTGGAGGGACTTGGGGGGGGGCGTGTTATTCCTGGGCGCTCTCCGCAGGGCCACGGGACGGCGCAGTGCTTGTATACACCACAGTGTGTGTGCGTGCGTGTACCCACCTCGGTGCATGTGTGCGCGTCGGAGCATGTGCGCAACACAGTGTCACATGTGCGCGTGTGAACCACACTTATTGCACGCGACACAATGCGCGTGTGCCTCGCAATCCACGTGCGAATCAGAATTGATTGGTTACGCACGGCGCAGTGCCATGCCGGATTATCGCACTGCGCTGTGACACTCGCCCTGCGATGTTGGTGTGTGTTCGCGCCGTATCGGTGACTACTCATTTTACGACCGCGGGTGATATTGACAGCCAGGCTGGGTACCGCGCGTTGTGCCCCTGAGGCCGATGTGCATTGAGCGACGTGTTACCGTACTACTTACCGATTGCACTGCGCGGTGTTCGATGTAAGGCAGGCGAGCATGATGCGAATGAGGGCGCAGACGGGCAGATGATGTGATGATATGGACGATGAGGGGGACAGAGCAAGACAAGAAATGACAAATGGCCAAGATGAAAGTGAGAAATGAACATGGTTCCCTTGTGGCAACATGGTCAAGAAAAGGCAGATGAGGCATATCATCAGTTCCGTGTCCTATTCCCTCTTTGCAAGGGGACGGAGAGGGGCTCGTTAACTCCTGTGCGGTGCTGCAGGTTCCGATGGTGCAACCAAGTACTGCGGCGCACGATACTTGAATACACCACAATGCTTGTGCGCGCCGCAATGCCTGTGCTCACTCCTATGCCTGTGGGCACCCGAGCGCCTACTTGCACCAAAATGCCCGCGCGCACGCGTTCGCAATTTCCCGCGTGCTGCGCATTGCCTGTGTGCACCACAAAATTCCAGAACGTAATGCTCACCCCAATGCTTCCGTTCTTGCAACCATGATTGGGCATTCCACGATGAACCTGACGGCTGCCCGTGCGACGGAATGATTGTGTGCACCACCAGAGTTTTGAGTGGCACAATGCACGCGCGCGCACCACGGTGCACTTGTGCAGCGCAATGCTTGTGTGCACAAGAATGCCAAGAACGCGCGTGTGCGCCGCAATGGTTGCGTGCGCCGTAATGCCTGTGTGCGCAACTATGGGTGCGTGCACAATGTACTGAACCACGTGTACGTTGCATCGAACACCACTGCCCTTTCGTCAGAAAGGTCATTATACCCTGCATTCACAAATACACCTTTCCCAACACCAGGCAGTTTTGCAAACCTTCAGGCTCTCGCAAACATTTCTTGTGCACATGCGCACTGTCGGCATTGTAGTGCATACACGCATTGCGGTGCACACAGGCGCGATGGTGCACATGCGGGCTGCGCGGTGCCGATAAGCGATGTGGTGCTCGCAAGCATTGTGTTGCTCTTGCAAGCGTTGCGGGACTCTAGGGGTGGCGGTCGTGGGGGGTATCCCAGACGGCCAAGCTGGCCCCAAGAGAGCCCAAGATGGCACGAGGATGGCTTCACAACGGCCCAAGATGCAGTCACGACGGCCTAAGATAGCCTCAATCTGGCCCAATATGCCCCAAATTCGGACTAAGATGCCTCTAAGAGGTCCCCCAGGAAGGCCCGAAGAGACCCAAATCATCGATATTCCATCGGTGGTTGATGGATCTTGGCAATTGCTTCAAAACGACCTTCCGACGAGCTTTCGACGCCCAAGAGGCCCCCAAGATTATGCCCCAAGATCGACCCAGAGGCCTCCAAGATGGCCCAAGAGGCTCCCAAGACGGCCCCCACAGGGCCCCAAATCGGCCCAAGAGGCCTCCCAGACGCCCAGGATAGCCCTCAAGACGATCCTGAAACGCCCCAAGAGCGCTGAACATGCCCCAAAGAGGCTCCCAAGACGGACCTGGAACGCCGGAAGATGACCAAAGAGACCCGCAAGTAGCCCCCAAAGGCCCCCAGGAGGGCCCCAAGAGGTCTCCAAGAGGCCCCCAGGAAGCTTCCCGGAGGCCCCACCAAGAATGACACAAGAAGCTCTCAAGAGGTCCTCTCATCCTTCTCCTCGTCCTCCCTTTTCCTCTCATTTTCTCTCTTTCTCTTTCTCTTTCTTCCTTTCTTTCTCTCTCTCTCTCTCATTCTCTCCTCATCCTCCTCTTCCTCCCACACGTGTTCCTTCGAGGGCTTCCACAACGGTTGGGGGAACGCATGGTCCAATAGCGGGGACAAACCTTGCCCGAGCGTTTGGCCACATAGGTGTATCTTAGAAGGCGGGGGGCGGCGGTGATTCGATGTAGGCGTCTTCGGCAAACAAACAAAGTGCGACATAGGCGAAGAAACAAACACACGGACCTAAGCACGCAACGGCGAGAAGATAGATATCAAGACTTTTCAGTAGCCCGCCGAGGTCCGCGAAGAGGGTGATAGAGGTGACTACCATGCGCATGACATGATAGATCACATCACAGCTACTCATAATAGAGGAGAGCCCAGGAGAGCCCAGGCTAGAATCGATAAGTCGGACCGGCGATCGACATTAATCGGATCAGCGGAAGTCGGCAGCCGAATCGGGAACAGTAGAATCGGCGAAAGTCGGCAAGCTGGTAAGGCCTCCATTGGGAAACCGAGCTCCAAATCGGAATCCGAGGTCGAATCGAGTCGAAATCGGAATCGATCGAAATCGAAGTCCAATCGAGCCAGAAGAGTCGAAAAGGGCCCTGCTGGAGGCCCCTCCCGAACGGGGGGGGTGGGAGGCGGGCGCGGCCCGGGGCGCGCCTCGAAGCGCGCCTCCCGCAGGCGGTTGTCGCGCGCCACGTCCTCCAGCTTCCGGGCCTGGCTGCGCGTGATGCCTGGCTGGGGTCGGCAAGGGCTTCACGACTGCTGCTGTCCTCTTCCCCCTTCTCCTCCATCTCCCACTCCTCCTCCTCCTCCTCCTCCTCCTCCTCTGCCCTCCACGTATGCCGTCCCCTCCTCTGCCTCCTCCGCACCCGCTCCCCTCTACGACTGGGAAGGGGTCGCGCTGGAGCGGCCACCAGTTGCTCCAAACTTCCCTGGAGATCTGTTGAGTTACTTGGGTTTACTAGGCGTTACCTCGGCATCCACACTTACCTTATCTATCAATCTTGACTCCCTCACGTCAATAGGCGAAGAGTCGTCAAGCCCTTGAAGGACTAGGAGGGGAGAAATCACGATGGCAAACCTTCGGGTTGCGCACAAATGACCCCCGCCCAGATAGTCCGGGCTGGCCTCAGCTGGACCCCCGAGTAGCCCCAGCTGGCCTCAAGAAGCCCCCAGAGTAGCAATTCACGGAAGCTCTTGGTCGTCCCAACGTCGCCCAATAGCGCGCCCGATCGTGCGCAGAGCGGATATAATGCGTCTCCCTCACGTACAAGAGAAATCGATGGTAAGGGCGCAAGGGCCTTGGACGTCGAAGTTGGCACTTTTTGGGCGGCGGCCTGCCAACACCCTGAATGGCCGGCCAGTGAAGACCGCGAAGGACTGGCCGCAGAAACAAGGACGCAAAGGTACCCTAAGGACAACCGTGCGTCCTGACTATGAGTTTTCACTGTAGCGCCATTGGGCGCTTTTGGGCGCCATTCGGCGCTATTGGGCGCCATCTGCCAATGTGCATTCAATCAGGCGCCATTCAACGCTGTTGGGCGCTATCGGCGCTATTGGCAGTGGAGGTCATCGTCGTAGGACTGGCCCTGCTTGGACCTGGACGCGGGTAAAGATCGCGTCCCTACTCCGATCGGTGGATGGTCCTGGAGAACGCTGAGGGAGAAAACGCGCTGCTACTTGAGCAGGGACCGGCCGTCCCGGCACTTCTTCTATAGGCCCACCACGATCTGTTCTTAGACCCCCCCAAGTACTCTGAGAAAGAAACCATGTTCTTAGAACAGAACCCCGACGTGTTACAACAAGACAAGCTCAGCCAGACATGTTATAAGAACATTTCGTAAAGACCAGAAAAAACTCTTAGAACATTCTTTGGTGGGCCTATTAGCGAGCCATGACGCTCCGCCACTGCTTGAGCTACGCGCCTCGCGTGCCGCGGCGGTTGCGCACTAGCAGCACGCGCGAGGATCCGCCGAAGCGGCGGCGGACCCTCGCGCGAGCGAGGCACGCCTGGCGTCGTATACGTAGAACTGGCAGCTGACCGAGGAAGGAGGGTGAGGACGATGACGGGGGGGGGGGGGGGGAAACTGAAGAGGGGAAGAGACCCAGACATGATCGCGTCGGAACAAAAAATCAGGGCGGCAAACGTTCCCCTATTTTCGGCCCCTGGGGGCCCTCGCCGGAACCCCGGAACCGTAAGAAAAACTCAGGATGAAAAACCGGCCCTGGGGAAAAGGTCAGGACGTTTCCTCCCCAGACATGCGACGTCCTGATTTTTTTTTTTTCTTTTTTCCTTATTTTTTAATACTAGTTCTGAAGCTTCCTCCTGCAGAAGGACAGGCCCGACGTGACAATACTGATTTGAAGCTTCCTCCTGTGGAAGGACAGGCCCGACGCAACCAAACTGTTGCTCCAAGGGCGGGGGCGCCGTTTTGAAAAAATCAGGACGTCGCATGTCTGGGGAGGAAACTCCGAAGGACGAGGGAGAGGAAAAGAGAAGGGATTCCCCCCCCTTCCTGCGAGGAGCTGGGCGCGGGTCTATGCAGAGATAGGCATCGTGGTGTTGAGCGCTGTACGGGACAAGGGCCAACTCGCGATTGTCGTCGCACTCTCGCCGCACTGCGGAGAGGCGGAAGACGATGTGGAAGCTGTCGCAGGGTTGCTCATGTCCAGCAGGAGGGTGAGGACGACGACGAGGGGGAAGGAGCCGAAGAGGGAAGCGAGGGAGCCAGAAGGCCCGCGGAGCGCGAGGAAGGGAAAAGGAGGGAGGACAGGAGGGGCAGGAGAGATACGGAAGAAGGACGGTGGGGGCAGCGCCAACATTAAGTCGGGCATGTCCTCCTACAGGCGGATCTGTCTTGGGGGAAAAAGGCACGACATATTCAAGAATATTCAGAAATTCGCTGGCCCAACGGGCCAGAGGCGTGCTAAGATCTCTGGTAACTGGTTAACAATATTTCTAGTTCGCGCGCGCGCGCGGGGCGGCCCCTGGGGGTCCCCGGGCGAAAAGTTCCCCGGGAGAAGCCCGGGAGGAGACCCCGGACCGGGCAATTTTTCGACACCCCTCACGAGGATCGTGGCCTCCGAGGGGGGAGCCGCAATCGACTACCCCCTCTCCTGCCCCAAGAGGCCCACAAGAGCCCCCCAAGAGGCCCTGGGGGCCCCAAAGACGCCGCCAAGGAGCCCTAAGAGACTCCCAAGAGTTCCCCACGAGGCCCCCAAGAGGCCTTAAAGAAGGCTCCAGGGCTGGCGGAATGAGCGAAGCGATTAATAATCAAAAATCATCCCCAGACTATGTTTTTCTTGACTGCTTAAATTGAATATTCCTCCTGTGGAGGGAATTCCCGACTTACGGTTCGGGAGAAGGATGGTGGGGGCAGCGCCAACGACAAATCAAAATCGGCATCCGCGGACACCTCCCAGGAGCCGCCCCCTGCCAGTTTCCACGAGCGGCGCTAGAGACGCCCCACAGAGACCTCCGAGCCAACGATGGGCGCCCTCCTCCTCCTCCTCCCCCTCCTGCTCCTCCTCCTCCACCTCCACCTCCACCTGCTCCTCCTCCTCCACCTCCTCTTCCTCCATTCCGTTTCCTTCTGATTAACTTCTCTATGTCGCAGGCCGCGGCAATTCTTAGCGCGGGCCGGGCGTTTCGCCTCAGACATCCTCGCCACTCATGACTCGGAAGCTAAAAAACTTGGCACCAATTTCACAGATAGAGGGCGGGTCGTTTTCAAAATGTGGCTCGCGCCCTAGCGTGGCGCACATTCGTTTGAAACGTTTACAAGAGTCTCACGGATTGAAGGCGGGTGGTTTTCAAAATGTGGCTCTCGCCTTAGCGCGGCGCACATTCGTTTTGAACATTTGCAAAAGTTTCACTGATTGAGGGCGACCCGTTTTCAAAATGTAGCTCTCGCCTTAGCGCGGCGCGCATTCGTTTAAACAATGCAAGGACTTCGCGGATTGAGGGCGGCTCCTGTTCAAAATGTTGCTCTCGCTTTATCGCCACGCACATTCGCTTACAACATTTGTAAGGGCTTCACGAATTCCCATCATCAACGTACCAGGCACTGTGCTTTGAAAGGGTCACAGATTATGCGGGCGCAACACTTACGTTGATTCGCTGTGCCGAAATCCACGAATGGCGTTCTGGCAGGATTCAGGGCCGTCAAGACGCAACAGTCAGGTTGGTCCGTGGCGTTGGAATCCCGAGAACAATGTTTTGGCATGCTTCAGGGTCTTCAAACGGTTGTCTTCCAACGAGGCAGTTCCCTCAATGGAAATGAACCATTGTAGGGGTCTATGAAGAGGGAGCTTGAAGGGAGGGTTTATTCCAACATCGTTGATGACTCTTGAGTTTACACTGGTCCTCCTCCTCCTCCTCGCGCCTGCTGCGTGCGGTCCGTGCCTCTTATAGCCCACACTCATTCATGGGGAGGGCAGGCGATCCGATGCAACCGCAGCCCGTTGCGTCGCTCCGCGGCTTGGACTCAGCCGCGCGCTGGAGGAAGAAGTGTGTGTGTGTGTGTGTGTGTGTGTGTGTGTGCGTGTGCGTGTGCGTGTGTGTGTGTGTGTGTGTGCGTGCGTGTGTGTGGCGTGTGTGTGTGTGTGCGTGTGCGTGTGCGTGTGTGTGTGTGTGTGTGTGTGTGTGTGTGTGTGTGTGTGTGTGTGTGTGTGTGTGTGTGTGTGTGTGTGTGTGTGTGTGTGTGTGTGTGTGTGTGTGTGTGTGTGTGTGTGTGTGGGGGGGCCGCATCGCTGCGCGCGCGGCCGCGACGCCAAACAAGAAATGCTGGGGCGTGCGCCGCGCTGGCGCCCACGGGGGGCCGGTGCGCGGCCTTTGTAGGCGCCCGACACGACCACGTCGCCCCCGTGGCACTCCCTCTCTGGCCGCTCGGGCACCTCGCGCGCACGGCCGCCGACTCGCCGCCTCCTCGCCGCCCCTCTCGCTCAATGACGCGCCTCCTGCTGCAACTCCTGGTCCTGCGTGCTGTGCTTCTCGTCCTGGCCCTCCTGCTCAGCTGCTCCTCCTTCCCCGCTTCTCCTCCTGGCCCCTGGGCTACTGACGGGGCCCAGGGACACACAAACAGACACAAATCCCAGGATTCCCCCAACTCCTATATTTTCTGGGTTATCGTCTTCCCCCCGCTTCCCATGTCCTGGGGGTCGACGATTAATTTTGTCTGTGTGTTGTTTCTCCTCCTGGGCTGCATCGCCTTGCCTGTCGTGCTGGTCCTCCTGCTCCTCAGGCTGGCCTTGGTCCTCCTGCTGCTGCTCCTCCTCGTGCTTCTGCTCCAGGTCCTCCAGCTCCTTCTCCTGGCCATTGCTGTTCACGTTCGTGCGCTCTTTGTTCTCCGTCGAGTAGAGGATCGACTACATAATTGATTTACTCCACGCTGGGCTTCCCCGCGAAGAATGCATGACACGCGAATCATGTTCGTAGATTTACGGGGCTATGTACGTTTGTTTTCCGTAGGTTCGGCGAACAATGAATTTTGGGGTAGATCAATTCTGCCCTCGTTCCTCTACTCGACTCCTGCTCCTTCTCGTCGTCCTCCCCCATCTGCTGCTCTCCTCCTCGCTATCCTGCGTCTTGCCCTACTGATGGCAGGAGGCGGGAAGAGGGGAATGGCTGGGAGACGGGGATAAAGAGGAACCGGAGGAGAAAGGAGGGAGGATCCCGAGCGGCGAACACATCCGCATCCGCGGCCTCGCGGTCTGGGCTCCGTGGCGCGATCCCGCGGATACGCGGTGGCACAGAGGCGTTCTGCGCGGGGCATCCGCGAAAAAACGCCCCGTATCCGCGGGGCCGCGGCCCAGGGGCCCGGCCCCGCGAGTCCGCGGGTACGGATATGGTTTGCGCCCACGGGAGGAGGAAGTGGAGGCGGGAGGAATATCAGGGACAACTGCTTCTTTGTGTCTCCATGGCGGCCCCCGCTCTGCTCGAAATTCTCAAGTTGCCAACGATGGATTTGCAATCGCATCGCTGGTAAACCGTAGTGCTCAGAACCCACTGTGTTTTTGGACGGATAAGCCCGAACCAGCGTAAAACCGCTGAGCATATCTACCTCGCAACACGGGCAGACGAGACCAGAACTACCCTGTCTGCTGCAAAATTGTACTGGCCTGCGCACCTCCCGTGCCAGCCCCTTCTACCAGCAAAGCCAGTCGTGTAAGGATGGAGCGGAAAGGTGCAGGCCCAAACTCACTTTGACGCAGGAGGGTGGGTCGCGGTCTCCTACCACGTTCTTGCGCCATGCCGCGCGAAAATGCGCCCGCCCTCTTGCAGCCTTCCTGCGCGCTGCTGAAGGGCAATGCACCCGGTCCTGAGTCGGCGACTCCGAAGGGTGTGGTTTGCAAAGTGTGCGGTTTGCAACCGACACCCACCCTGGGGGGAGCGGGCGGGGACCCCGACAGAGCTCTCCGCCGAGCCCCGAGGAGGCCCGGAGAGGAGACTGTCGTGCGCCCCAGGCACCAACGACCCAGATCGCAAACCACACCCTGGCGTAACCGTACCCTTTGCAATCGCCGAACGACGATCCAGACACGGCGCCAAGACGCACAAATTTCGAGAACTCTCCAGCCCGACTCTCCCGATTGGGGAGGACAACCCAGCACACACACACACACACACGCACACGCTCTCTCGGTCGTGGCGGGCGGGCGCAGCGCCTCGCTGTCGAGCCCGTGCGCGGAGAACCGCGCGCGCGCACCCAGTCGTCAGACACGTTCGGGGGCCACGCGGACTTGTGTTCGCCATCGCTCAAACGTCCATTCCCCATGCATATGTCGGTTTCGTGTGCTTGTTTTCTGCGAGGTGATCCAAGATGCTCCTTGATGGCCCTCGCCGAAAACCCAAACACACGTCCGAACGATGCCATACTGCTGGGAATAATACAAACACACAAGCACAAACACACACACTCACACACTCACACACTCACACACACACACACTAAAACACACACACACTAACACACACACACACACTAACACACACACCTACACAACAACACACACAACAACACACACAACAACACACACACACAAACACACAGACAAACACGCACACACAACACACACACACACTCACACACACACACACACACACACAACAACACCACACACAACACCACACACAAACACACACAAACACACAGACACACACGCACACACACAAACACACACAAACACATATCCACAAACACGCATCCACACATAACCACACACACACGAACACACACAAACACACACAACACACACAACACATAAACACGCACAAACAACACACAAACACGCACAAACGCAAACAAACATGCACAAACACACCGCCACACACACGCACACACACACACACTCACTAATCCAAACACGCGCACACACAAACACACACACACACGCACACATAAGCACACACAGAAACACACATACACACACAACTATAAAACCACCCACATACGAACAAGCACGCACGCAGACACACACACAAACATACACACGCGCATACACATACAAACACACACAAACACACACAAACACAAACACACACAAGCACACAAACACACACACACACATACAAACGCACACACGCACACACACGCACGCACACACACAGACACACACAGAGACACACACGCACAGACACACACGCACACTCACACGCCCACACACACCTCCTCTTCCACCTCCTCCTCCTCCTCCTCTTTCTCTTCCTCCGCCTCTTGCTCCCCCTGTTCCTCCTCCTCCTCCCTCCTGCTCTTGTCCTCCTCCTCCTCTCCTCCTTTTCCTCCTCTTGCTCCTCCTGCTCAATCACGCAGGGAGCAGCGCAACCACACACAAACACACTAACACACACACACACACGCACACACTCACACACACACGCACACGCACAGACACATGCACACGCACACGCACACGCACACACACACACACACGCGCGCACGCAAACGCACACGCACACGCACACACACACACACACACGCACGGGCACCCAGACACGCACAAACACAGGCATACGCGCACGCACAAGCACGCGCACACGAACACGCACACGCACCCGCACCCGAACACGCACACGAACACACACACGCACACGCAGGCGCAGGCGCAGGCGCAGGCGCACGCACACGCGCACGCGCACGCGCACACGCGCAGGCACACGCTTGAGCACAGGCACAAGCACACACACGCGCGCACATGCACGCGCACGCGCACGCGCACGCGCACGTGCAGGCGCACGCGCACGCGAACGTGCACACGCACACGCATGCGTACGCGCACGCGCACGCGCATACGCATATGCACGCGCACACCTACACGCACACGCACACGCAAGCGCACACGCACACGCACACACACGCACACACGCACACGCACGCGAACCTGCACACGCCCACGCACACACAAGCACCCACACACACGCACAATACAGGCACAGGCAAAATCACACACACACACAACCACAAACGCAACCAAACACAGCCACGACTACACACAACACACAACACACGCACATACACCTCACGCGCACTGACACACACACACACACACACCGACACACACACGCACGCACACACAACCATACACACACACATCTCTTCGTCCTCCTCCGCGTCCTCCTCCTCCTCCTTTTCCTCCTCAGCCTCCTCCTCCCCCACCTCCCCTTCCTCCTCCTCATCCCCCTGCACAAAGAGCAATGCACGCGCACACACGCTCACACGCGCACACGTACAGACACACGTACAAACAAACACAAACACAACCACACACACACAACCAGAGGCACACACACACACGCACAAACACAAACACAACCACACCAACAAGAACACGCACAAGCGCATACACAACCACAATCACACACAAACACACAATGGCACAAACACGCAAACACAATCACACGCACACGCACAACCACACACAAACCAACACACAGGCATACGCAAACGCCACACACACGTACGCACGCGCACACACACAGGCACACACACACACACGTACACAACCACGCAGACACACACCAACACACACAAGCACACACACAGAAAACCATCCACACACACCACCACACACAAAAACACAAGCACACACAGACACACACAACCAAACACACATACATACGCACACGCCACACACCCCACACACACACGAAACACACGCATGCAACACACACGCTGGCACACACGCACACACACGCACACACACGCACACACACACACCTCCCTTCCTCCTCCTCCTCCTCTCTCCCCGCCCCCCTCCACGCAAGACACACGCACAACACACACACACCACACCACACACACACACGCACACACGCACGCATACGCACACACACACACACACACACGCACACGCACACGCACACGCACACGCACACGCACACGCACACACACACACGCACACTCACACGCACGCACGCAAACACGCACGCAAGCACGCACGCAAGCACGCACCACGCACACACGCACACACGCACACACGCCCCCCCCCCTCCACTACCCTGCCCCGCACACGCACAGCCACAGACGCAGACACAAACACACACCCAGATACAAACACAGACACACACACACAACCACAGACACAGACCGAGGCACAGACACGGACACACACACACACCGACACACACACAGACACAGACATTAACTCAGACACACACACACACACACACGCACCACCCACACACCACACACCACACACCACCCACACACACACACACGCGCGCGCACACGCACACGCGAACGCACACGCAGCCGCGCACGCAAACGCACACGCACCCACACACCCACACACCCACACAACCACACACCGACACACACACCCACACACCGACACACAGCTACACACCCACACCCACACGCCTACACACCCAAGCACCCACACACCGACGCACCCACGCAACCACGCACCCACGCACCCGCGCACCCGCGCACACACGCACCCCACGCACCCACGCACGCACGCACGCACGAACGCACGCACGCACGCACGCACTCACCCACGCACACGCACAACCACTCACCCACACTCACCAACACGCACCCACACGCACACGCACACGCACACGCACACGCACACGGACACGAACACACCCAGACCCAGACCCAGCCACAGACCCAGACCAAAACCCAGACCCAGACCCAGACCTAGACCCTGACCCAGACCCAGACCTAGACCTAGACCCCACACCCCCACACCCCCTCACCCCCACCCCCACACCCACGCCCACACCCACACCGACACTCCCACCCCCACTCCCACCCCGAGCCCAACCCCCAGCCCCACCCAAACCCCCACCCCCACTCCCACTCTCACCCCGCCACCCCTACCCCCACACCCCCACGCCCCGCCCACCCTCACCCCACCACACCAACCGCGACCCACACACGCGCAAACGCACACACAAACAGACGCACACACACACACACACGCACACACAAACACACACACACACGCACACACTCCCACACACACACACTTACACACACGCACACACGCCCACATACAAACACACGCACACA